TTTACTTGTGTTATGATTGTCGTTTAGGTTTTGAGCGCAAAGAAAAAAACACACCCTCACCCAGTTTTCCTTCTGCCTTTCTTTCGGGTATATCCCAGTGTCGGGCATCAAAAGAGCCACGCTCATCTACAACGAAAAGTACGCACGCGCACGCGACCGAAAGCGAAAGACGAACAGCTACATACGAGCAGCAAGCGAGAAGCCGCAGAAAGACGTACCAGGGAAGAAACAACACGTATCGACAAACATCTACGACTGCTCCATTCCCTCAGATTACACCAAATTCCGAAAGAAAGCCCCCCCCAAAGGTCTCCAACAGAACTCACCGAAAGACAACAACCACCCAATATGGCCGAACCGTCGATCACAAACTTCCTCCTCCGCTCCCTCCTGCCCCCGGACGCCGCCGACTTTATCCACAAAAATGCCCTCCACCCGTCCTCGCCCGTCCAGCAGCTAAAAGGCCACGCCCTAGCCGCCGCCTCCCGCGCCTTCGACGAGCTGTACCCGTACCTCGCGCCCGCCGTCGACGCGACGCTCGACTTTTTACACTCGTCGCCCGAGCTCGTGTCTTTCGCGGTGCTGCTCGCGCTGCTGGCTGCCACGGTGATTGTGCTCAACTGGATCCGGCGTGTCGTTGCGTTTTGGACGGCGCTGGTGCTGCGGCTCGCATTTTGGGGCGGTGTTGTTGTCGTTGTCGCGGCCGTGTGGCAGAGGGGCGTCTTTGAGACGGCGAGAGACGCTGTTGTTGTGGGCGGGAAAGTTGTGGGCTTTGCGGCTGCTGCGAAGGATGTGTGGGTGAGCGAGTATCGGAGGTATGAGGAGGAAACGAAGATCCAGGGTAACAAATATCGGTAAAGAGGGGCAGATCTAATGGGAACTCGTTTCGAAGAGTCGACAGAAATCCGGAACTTGAACAAGCTTCCTAACCTACTGGATATACTCGGGACAAAGGTTCCCGGCGTAAAACACGACGAGAAGATACTTGGCTGAACAAGTCTGGGGAAGGGTCGCTGGGAATCGAATGGTGGAATATACCCCGGGGAAGGAAGACATGGATTGTATTTTTGGAGAGAGAAGGGGGATACAATTGTACGAGGCATACGCAACACGACTCGATGCTACATTCGAACCGTTGACCAAGAAGGCTCGAGGCCATGAGAACGACCACAGTGCCATGGGAGGGGTTAAAGAGACTGGACAAGCACCGTATACTTGAAGACTGAAGACAAGAAGCTCTGTCGCGGCTCTCGGTCAAGCAGGCAAATGGTATACGGTACAGTGGCAGACAGAACAACGATGCCAATGATGTTGTCGGACGATGATGAATGAGTCAATGGATTAAATAAATACCAACGCCAACGCTATGCAACCTGCTATATCTCCTTGCCCTATTGTTTTTTCGTTAATATGCCATCCATGTTGAGCGCGCCTGGCACAACCACAGCCAAGTGAGATCCGTGCATTCGCGAGCACTGAACAGTAGAGAGAACCGCCCCTTCTTGCATCCCGTGTTAACGTATTTTCGAGCTTCAATCGTCTTGCGGCTCGTCAAACTCCTCGTCCTTGAGCTCCTTTGGCTCCTGCGCCTCGTGGTACTGGATGATATCATCCACGTAGCTCAGGATCGCGCCGACGCTGTCCTCGTCCGTGTTATCCAGCTTGAGGTAGTTGACCATGCTGAAACTCTCAATCAGGCCCGCGACGGCGCGGTTGAGCCTCTGGAAGCTCCGGCCGCGCATGACGAGGTCGCGGTCGTGCACCTCGCCGCGGCCGTCGTCGGGCTCGCCGCCCGCGGCGGCGATGGAGATGGGATCGTCGTCGAGGAGGCCCGTATCGGGCGTGAGAAACCGCTTGAGGTCCTTTTTGCGGACCTGGTCCTTGACGAGGTCCATTTTGGAGAGGACGTTGATGTGGGGGATCTCGAGCATGATCATGGCGGACATTGCCGACAAGGTGCCGGCGAAGAATTTGGCGCGGTCGACGACGAAGGTGGCTTCGAGGAGGTAGGCGGCGCAGAGGCGGATGTCGAGGCTGCCCGGCTGGGAGAGGAAGCGGGCGAGAGCGGGCAGGATGGGGATGTGGGTGTAGAGCTCGATCTGGCCCGGCATGTCAAAGATGATGAGGTACTCCTCTGTGAGGTTGTCGAGGGCCTCTGTGAGGAAGTCGAGGTTCTCCATGAGGAACTCGAAGCAGTAGATGAGGCCGCCGTTGGGGCCGAGGCCGACCTCTTCCATGGCGTCGTGGAGGGAGATGAGGTCTTTGATGTCGAGGTCGGGCGCGTGCTCGAAGGACTCGGCGGCCGGGTCGAGGTTGACGTAGAAGGCGGAGCGGCGATTGAGGTTCAGGTGGGTGATGAGGGAGGCGCAGAAGGTGGACTGCCGGAGACGAAGGGAATGTTAGCTTTTCGGATGACATTTTTGAGGGATGTAAGCCGGCGCTCCGGCCGGCGTAACGGGGACGAAGAGATGGGACGGCGGTCCTGGATGCCGCACGGAGGCCGGGTAACGGAGCGGAAGAAGGGTATTGGGCTTTGGAGTACTGACCTTGCCGGCTCCGGCCGGGCCCATAACCATGACGCCGTACTTGGACATGATGGCGTGTGGGAGGGAGAATACGATGGGCGGTTCGTTTCGTGGGTCAAGACTTGCGAGCAGATATGTAAGGGCAGAGCTAAGCAAGAGGCTGTGTGTGTGTGTGTTTTCTCCTGATCGAGTGCCTGAGTCTGGGTATCGTGTAGCAGAGTAGTAGTGGCGGGAGCTTCAGCGGCTCGGGTAGGTGGTAGATGGTGGTGGTGGCCTTGGATCGGCAGAGTCACTTGTCGCAGACTTTTTGGGCAGAGGAATGGACGTTTGCCTATGGAAAATTACCCCGCCATGCAGGAACGGGCGCGCGTCAAGGGTCGCGGTTGATCAGCAGCGCCTGTCTTTGCGCGCCACTTTAGGATCCAGACAAAAGAGTGTCCGTACCGACAGGTACCTTATTACTAAGATATCAGAGAAGCTACACTTTGACTCTTTGGGCGAGGGTGATGTAACTCTGGTACTGGATGGGCTGAGCAACGTGACGCGGTGAAGGAAAATTGGATGCGACAAGGTTGCACTGTGATATCAGCGCCGGTGCCGGGGGTTGGATGTAGGATGGCAAGCGACGAGAAAAAAAAATTAAAAAATTTGCTTCGCGGCGGCGATAGCTTGCGATAAGAGACAACAGGATGCCAGCTCGAATGAGATGGCCCCCCTCCCCTTCCCATGGACCAATTTTGCTCTAACAGTGAGAACAATGACGGGCGGCTTGCTGCGGAATTACGGGCCAATGCCGCTCGCACGTGTAGAGCGCGGGAGGGGCATATTCTCACCAGGCCCGTTACAGATGTTATACAGCGTAGCTCCCAGTTGGGATTAGCCTGTTTCGGCGGGGGTTTCTCACTTGTCTCCAGAGGTATTGGAGGGGTGGCTTCGCAGTCTTGTTCGGAATGCGAATCCTCGCAGGAGGGATACGCCGAGGGAGTCACTGCTGTATGTTAAGGACACATTCAGATATCTACCGTATGGGAAGAATGGAGGATGGGAATGTCGCCGAGAAGTATGCGCGTGCCGTTGACATTCCGAACTTTGAACAGGGGGTTGTATTGCCCAGTCTCGAACAACTCGCGTGTCTTATCCAGGAAGAAAGGGACGCCTCGTGGAATGCCATTAACTTGACAATGCATTGGTAGGAGAGACAGAACTAGAAGAGTCTCAAAGGAGACAATCTCAGGTCAGCAAAGTTCCCGTTGGGAGTTTCAGCTCCCGTGCTTGACTACAACAATTGCGCGATGCCATCCTGCTTTTTATGTCCCGTACTTTGCTTACCTACACACAATAGAAGCTACCTTATCACCTTACTGTGTAGCTTGTGAGGCGAGGATAAGGTTCTTAACACCATCGGGCTTATGCTGGCCTTGGCCAAGAGGAAAGAAAAGGACTAGGGAAAAAATGGGAAGGACGAAACAGAAGGAAGCCCGAGCTCCCTCGGGGAACGATCACCGCTGCTCTCGTTGAGGTGCGCATCCTGGCGACTGTGTAAATCCGAGCTTTTACTCCCTTCCAGAATCCACGGTACCGTGGGATGCCCGCTATCTTGTTGAACCGCAACTCACCGACCAAGAGGTGGCCGTAGCGGTACACGGAAGTGCTGTAATGTGGCCTGAAGAGTGTTTTGGTACGGCACGTACGGTGCCTTTTCTGCTAATGGGAGCGCGCCTGACTGACACAGGTCACAGATATGCTGCGAAAGGTGAAGGCGGTCAAGGGAGAGAAGTCGTGAGGATGGCGCAATCTGGAGAATTTTGGACCCTCCCCCTCGACAGGGCTGGTACATAGGGATGGAGGGGTCGACCGGTGAATATACCTTCCCACCACAGTAATTTACTATGCTGGTGTGGGTACCTTCCCTGCCGTCCGGCCCTCGGCCAATGTCTCCCACGAATAGTGCCTCAAATCCGCTTGAGCTTATGGCAAGGTACGGTACGGAGCAAAAGGTACATCCAGTACAGAGGAGTAGCAAGCAGGAGCAAGAGGAGCAAGTGAGGAGCGAGAATTTCTTCCCAACCGGCCACCATCCCAAGTCCCAAGTCGGGTCCCAGAGTCCCCATCCCCAGGTCGCGCGCTCGTCTTGTGTTTCTTTTAAAACCCGAACGGCCACATCTTCCTCTTCCTTCTCTCGCACTCTTTCCTCCTTCTACATCCTCAAGCCTCAACTTCCTCCGTGTCCCTTCTCCATCTCAAAAGGTATGCAATTGACTTTGCGTTGATGTTCCCTCCCCCTCCACGCAGACCCAGAGAAAAGAGGACAAACCGCTGACCCATTGAATCCAGAAGTAGCTTTTACCCGTTGCTGTCTTCATAGCCCCTCGGAACCCCGCGTCGGTATTTTTTCACCGCACCGAGCTTCTCAAAACTTTTTTCTTCTCTTCTTCACATCTTTTCACATACACACTTCCCACACATCTATCCAAGATGTCTGCTACCAACGGTGTCAACGGCAACGGCATTGCCAGCCGCAAGCACTTCAACGAGGGCAACTTCCTCTTCACCGTGAGCAAACCCTTTTGGTCGCTAATTGCCGACAGCCCCTCAGGCCGAACACCCATGCTAACTCCCGAGATAGTCCGAGTCTGTCGGTGAGGGTCACCCCGACAAGATCGCCGATCAGGTCTCCGATGCCATCCTCGACGCCTGCCTGAGAGAGGACCCCCTCTCCAAGGTCGCTTGCGAGACCGCCACCAAGACCGGTATGATCATGGTCTTCGGTGAGATCACCACCAAGGCCAAGCTCGACTACCAGAAGGTTGTCCGTGACGCCGTCAAGGACATCGGCTACGATGACTCCGCCAAGGGCTTCGACTACAAGACCCTTAACCTGCTCGTCGCCATCGAGCAGCAGTCACCCGATATCGCCCAGGGTCTCCACTACGAGAAGGCCCTCGAGCAGCTCGGTGCCGGTGACCAGGGTATCATGTTCGGATACGCCACCGACGAGACCCCTGAGCTCTTCCCCCTCACCCTCCTCTTCGCCCACAAGCTCAACGCTGCCATGTCTGCTGCCCGCCGTGACGGCACCCTCCCCTGGCTCCGCCCCGACACCAAGACCCAGGTCACCATCGAGTACAAGCATGACAACGGTGCCGTTGTTCCCCTGCGCGTCGACACCATTGTCGTCTCTGCCCAGCACGCTGAGGACATCACCACCGAGCAGCTCCGCAAGGAGATCAAGGAGAAGATCATCAAGAAGGTCATCCCTGAGAAGTACCTTGACGACAAGACCGTCTACCACGTAAGTTCTAACCCCATTGCGCTACTTTATGGCTATCCGACTAACATCCATCAGATCCAACCTTCCGGCCTCTTCATCATCGGTGGTCCCCAGGGTGACGCCGGTCTGACCGGTCGCAAGATCATTGTCGACACCTACGGTGGCTGGGGTGCCCACGGTGGTGGTGCCTTCTCCGGCAAGGATTTCTCCAAGGTCGATCGTTCCGCTGCCTACGTCGGTCGCTGGATCGCCAAGTCCCTTGTCAACGCTGGCCTTGCCCGTCGTGCCCTTGTCCAGCTTTCCTACGCCATTGGTGTCGCTGAGCCCCTTTCCATCTACGTCGATACCTACGGCACCTCCGACAAGACCTCCGATGAGCTCGTCAAGATCATCCGCGACAACTTTGACCTCCGCCCCGGTGTCATTGTCCGCGAGCTCAGCCTGGACCGCCCCATCTACCTCCAGACCGCCAAGAACGGTCACTTCGGTACCAACCAGACCTTCACCTGGGAGCAGCCTAAGACTCTCAAGTTCTAAGTCAATTAGTACTGGACCGAGCAGGATTTCTTCAACAAGCTTCCTGCATTGCAACGACCTAGACGTTTATAACAATTTTGATATTCATGCGGACAGGCACTCAAACATGGCGTACGGTTCTCAACGAATCCCGGTTTCCAGCCTTTTCGGGTAAAGGCAGCAACAACAACATCAAGACACGAGGGCGTGGTCTTTTTGGTAGGATCGTTTTTTCATTTTATGTCAAACGGTGTTAAAAACAATCGGAACAAGGGAGCGGTGGCGTCTTTCAACAAAGACACAAAGCGGGTTACACAGGAACAAATCCTGAAGCGATTTTTTTCGTTTTCTTTTTTCCAAAGTCACAAAAAGAGCAATGCATTATGAGAAAGATACCCTTCGGATTGTTCGAAAGGGGAACAAAGCATCTACAACGGCGTTAACGGGGAAACAAAAGAACTTCAACATCTTTTCTTTCCTGGTTTTCTAGCCGACCATCTCTTGCGCGGTTGAGGGTGGCAGAGGCGAATAGCCGGGGGAGACAGGCCTCAGAGGTTCCATCTTTGGGCATGGGGATGATGTGGGCTTGGAGATAGCTCATGATTTGTAGATAGGTAGACCATTTGGCTACTGACAATAGAGATGAGGATCTCACGAACTTGACTTTCTGAGACATGCAACTGTGAACCAATGACGCGAGCCAGACACGACTACCTAGCACCCAGCAGCACCTCTATCAAGCTTCACCGCCTCAATTCCACGAAGTGTCTCGGGACGTCCCCTTGCAGTTCTAGAAGGAAACCTAGGCTCAACACGGCCGGGCAAATCCCAGACATGTTTCTCAACGGCATGAAGCGGATCGCACGCCATACGTCGGTTGATAGACTGAACGCTACACTGCCCGCCCGCAACTGACTGTCTACATGCTCGGATAAGGAGGGGAAAATGACTTGTGGCCCAGAGACTCAAAGTCGGACTTTCAGCATGCAGGACAGAAAGTCTAATTCGGAGTATACCTTTTTAACAAAGTTTCCGCCGGTGGGAGGACCGCCAAATTTGACGTGTCACAAAAAGAACAGGCAAAAGCTTCGCAGTGTCAATCGCTATGAGAGTCCTCCAAGTTCGTTATCGTCGCCGTCGCGAGATTTGCGAAAATTGAATCCTTGATATAACTTTTTCTCGCCACTGCCGTCACACAATGTCCGCCGGTCCCAGTGGAGCTATCCACCGGAGCTGGCGAGATGTACACGGAAGGGTGGCCGAGTTGGTTATGGCGCCAGGTTAAGGTCAGCTTAACATCTGTTTCCTGGTGGGGCAACCCGCGCGAGTTCGAGTCTCGTCCCTTTCAATTTTTGTGGTCTTGGGGTGATATTCGTATGAGGATGATTGAAACTTGATATTTTTATGTCGTGCTGATCTCGTATGTGTCTTGCACATACTGAGTATTGTCCAGTGAGTGATTGCTGGGTAGTTTGCCGTGTTTTGTATCTAGCTATGTCCTCTGAATTTTGATAACGGAGCCACTTTGTCCCAATGACCAAGCGATCCATTTCCAAGTATAGATGACTATGTTTTGAAACTGTCAATGGCTTATTGTATGAGTTGTCGTTTCTTGGGTACTTCCTCGTTCCTTGGGAAGAGTACTTATCCTTTTCAATGAGACAAATAAATATTAGCCAATATTCCAGTTTCAAACGTGTGTGGCCCTCGTCAAGAACCAGCCGCCCGTTTGCGCGTAGGCGTGATATCCTGTGCCCAAGTACAAAGACTCGAAATCCTTTTTGTGTCACTTTCCCCAGTATCTTGATGCGTGTACGAGAAAACCTTATTATAATATCATCTGTCTCCCTTTCCTCCGAGCAAACGTATCGTATCAGCCAACGCCCCCAGGATCTAAATAAAGACTTGAATAGACCTTCACCTCCGGAGACCGTCACACAAAACTCCGGGCCGCAAACACGGGAACCACGGGAAATGTGGAAAGTCTTCCGATCGTGGGATACGTCCTCGGGCCCCGTTGCGGTCCGTGAAGTTCGGGAGCATTGTTCAGTATCAAGGTTGCGGCCCGGTGTCTCTTCCCGAAGTTGACGATTCTCCGGGAGGGTGTTTGCGTTGCGCAAGGTGCGGTGAGACTGAGAGAATACGGGTGGTTTTCAGCTCCACAAAGCGCAAAGAGACAACTTTGGTATTGCTAATGCGGTCAAGTGATCAGCGTAAGCAACAAATTGCTTTAATTTTGGATATTGACATTCTCACCGTCGACTGAATGGTAGCTGCTGCCATCAGCTGACGCTCGAAATGCCCGTAAACCTGGAATTACCTCACACGAACATGTTACACAAAAGTCACGACAATAGGGCTGAAGCAGACCCCGACCAGGCTGGGCGGAATCTTTCCCTCTTTACGCTTCCCGATCGGGACAGTCGTATCGACTAAAGTTGCAGTGGGATGGTACTCCGTGTGTAACCCCAAAACCCAAAACACTCGATCTTGTCTCCTTGTCGTTTCCTCCTACAATTGAGCAGGTGAGCTTGCTCCTGTGAGGTTCGTGACACAGACACGTAGTAGCGTGCATTGCGATGAGATCTCCATCTAGAGGGAAGCGTGGGGAGTGGTTCGAGCAAATGGGGAAACGAGGGTGAGAGAGGGAGAGAAGGAGAAGAGAAAGAGCTGGTGGTGGGATAGGGGGAACGTAGGTTTTGGGCTTGACCTGGCAAGATTAGGTCAACCATCCCAACGGTACCCAACCAGAGATGAGGGGAACCAGGTCCGTCTCAACGATGATTTGTGTATGCGTTGTACGCTTTGAGCCAGACGGGTGTCTACGGCCGAATCGCATTGGAGAGATGGTCTGTTTGTAGAAAGCGACCTCAAGACACTTTCGGCTTTCATAGTGGGTATGCTGAAAGCCGCAAGCGGATCCGCGCCGGCACATTGAGATTGCTCTTGTTGTTCATGTCTCTTCGTGGGCTAATTGATGCCAATCCACTGGAGTAGTGACTGAAATATCTGTGGGCAGGCGGTTCAGCGGGAGAAAGAAAAGCAACAGCATAAAAGCGGCACTTTACTCATGAACATGTGCGCTTGTCCGCGATTACAGGAGTAGGCTAGCTCCGCCAAGCAAACCAAGCTGGATCATGTTTGGCAACTTGCCATGGCTTTTCGGTGGGTTGGTCGGCACTATGCCGAGTAAGTCGAGCGGCATCAGAAGCGTCCAGTTGGAATTACTTCGTGATCGCCACGTTACGTGCAGGCATGTTGGCGTTTCATGGGTCGGCATCTGATGGCCATCTCGTCGTGGGGCTAGGGCTGTGGAGTGGTAACTTAATCACACCGAGCCAAATGACGAGGCGTACACCGGTCTACGGGAAGCCGGCCAAGATGGGATAATGGGGTTAGAATCGGCGATCGGATTTGGGAACATCAAACGTGGTACGTTACCTGAAGAGCCCGGTGGCTGGTGGAAAGTTGATGACCCGGTATCAGTGGGTTCATGATTGATGCGTCAGTCCTTTGAAATCATCCCAGAATATGCATTTAATATCACTAATGAACTTAATGCCAGAGCAGTCCATAGCATGTTAATTTGCGAGAAGCCCAACGAACACATAACCCTTCCCGTTGACATGCAGATGCAGTCGGCATGCTACGTTGTGTCATCACAGGCCAACGTGTTCATGATGGAATAACGAAGATCATTCTCTGGCGATATGGCAAACATTTTTCAAACACCGTTGAGGGATTTGATCTTCCTTACGGCCGGGTGTAGAAGCGTTGGATGTTGGAATGGATGGCAGCCTAGGCCCCAGGGTACGATATGCTATGCCACACCCAACCCTGCTTATTGAAGCGAGCGAACGAAAGACAACAGGGACCTGTGAGGCCGGTCTAATTCCGCGCTACCCTTGAAAGAGCATCCAGACTCGCCAAAGCTCACTATTTCTGCCATGGCATTGCTTTGCGGCTTGCTGCCAGCCTCCCGGAAGATGGGGGGATATTGTGCCGAATGGCCTGCCTACCCGTCGAGGTAGCAGGTGATTGGCAATGTCAGTATCCTCGTCAGCCAAGATTCACCCAGAGGAATTTCATCCTTGGAAGATCCCGGCACCATGAAAGACAGCATGCCGAGAGGAATGGTGCAAGCCTCTGAAGCTCTTGTCCGGTATCAGCCGCAGCCGACCAACTTTGCCTTCTGGAAATATCGATGTACGCCGGAATAAGCCACAAGGCGTTCCAACAGCTCAGAACCATACCAGTTCCAATGACGCCAACAATGGCCGGCGCCGGAGTTAGTGGCCTGGCAGGGGCTGTGTGATTTATCGGGGTGAGTGAAAGGGGATCTCTTCATCTTGCTTAAGAAAATTCGGGAAGGGTAAAATGCATCAGAGGGAGGGGTGGGAAGGACCGAAGGAGTGGTTCGTGGCTGGGATATCCGAGACTCGATCCAACTCATTCGGTACGGGTTGCCGTTGGGGTACGACGGGCGGTGCGATCCCTCGGCCGGCGGGTGTGGTTGAGAAGCAAAGGGGTCGAAGGCGTTGGACAATAGCAACGTTGCCCCACACACATCCGAGAACAATGTCAATCGGGGGGCTCCACCGTGCCACCACAATGGAAAGAGGCGTTCGGCAAAGTGGGTCGATGCTCCGAGTGGTCCTCCCCCTCCGGCTTCCGCACCCCCCTACTCTACGCCCATCCAGCAATGCAGCTTTCCGGGGAGAACAATAACCTGGTAATGCCATTCAGCCGTGTGAAGCGTCAAACTTTCCTTTAGTGTTGGCCGGCTTTTAGGTACGCAGGAGACAGGGGCGCGTTGCTCCCATTGGCAAATGTCGTAGAGAGGACCGGACATCTTCCGCCTTGCCCTGTTCAGACATGGGGGCATGTCCCTCGCCATGTGGGCAATTGCTCTTTCGAGGCTGTTATCTGGGTTAATTTGTTCCTTCGATCGGCGTGATTTGGGCGCAACAAGCATCGTCGGGATCCGCCACACCCTTGTTCTGGCTCCGAATGCTTGGGTCTCGTTTCGCTGCCGGTTACCACAATGGTGTGGTCCGAGCAAGAGAAGCAGAGAGGAAGCCTGGTTCAAACGGAGATTTGCGGGAAGTCGGCCCAACTCATCCTACTCTGGGAGCTCAAACAAGCTTACCGTAGCTAGTGGTGGTTGTAATCTAGCTTCTGCGCTTACACCGTGTGTCTGTGAAAGAATGTCACAGGTGGAGCTCGACAGCAATAAGTGAGAGATGATGGATTGTTGGCGAGTGATGGAACAGAGCCCATTGTGCTTGCCTGGTGTTTTCTTCGGCCTACCCACTAGAATGGGGAGGCACTGCCCATTTTGAACGTTCCGTTCTACCAACTGAACAGGGAATGCTGAGTTTCAATGTTACTTCCCACGTCTGGCGTCATTCTGTCACATTTCCGCTAAAGAAACCTGGTCTTACCTTGAATGTGTTGTCATATGCCTAAGGAAGTAGTTATATATGGACTACTACTGCTACTACACTTACTTCTTCTTCTCATCTCACATGCGCTCTGCATCTTGTTCCACTCCACGTCTTGATTACGAGAGAAAGTCGAAAGATAAAAGATCCAAAGGCGTCTCTATCAGCCTACAAAAACCTTGGACGTTGAAGAGACAGCTGCGTGCCTTAACTCATCACCACTTCTTCTCTACACATTGCCATAACCGAAGATGGCTTCAGCCACCGAAAGCGTCCAGACCCAACACCTTGCTCTACTATCAGGCCTTCATGCTCTGACGATACCCAAGGATAATCATCCCTGGAGACAACCTCAGCCTCCAGCATACTCTCCACAGGCACAACCGACGGGCTTTGGCAGCATCGCATCCCACTTTGTGAGACGAGATATTACTCACGACAGCCAATACAGTCAACGGACCTCTCATCTTCCGCAAGACTCGATCTTAGATGCCGAAGAGGAAGATGAAGAGGAAGAATCGTCACCCATTTCCCTGCGTATCTCAACACGAATCGACGTGGCCAGCGATAGCAGTCTCATCGCCCTGCCCTATTCGCCTGCGTCACAGGCAAATTTCATTGCAAAAGCGATCGTCGATGCCATTCATGACAGAGATTGGACAGTGGGGTGTCCCTTGATAGACGAAAATGGGCGGCCAAGACCATTGAAGCTGGAAGTCGATGCAGGTATCACTGTGAGGGGGTCGTCAAATGTCATCGGCACGGAAGCAGTCATCACAGAGTTCCTTCGTCATGGGACACATACTCAAAAGAAGCCACCTCACCGACAACACCCGAGACAGTCTACCGATTCCGCGGCATCTCCTTCATCGCCGAATCGGAGGAGATCGGCCTCAGAGCTAGATGCGCCTGAGCATCCAGTGTATAAGCGTGCTCGAAGTGAGGAGTGAGTCTTTGTTGGTCTGTTTCTTGCTTTTCTTGCGAGCAGTACTTCATCGAACTCGGCGGTCCATCTTTGGTGGCATTGATAGGATAAATGGGGCAGAGAGCCACGTCACGCTGAGCTCTTGAGTCTCCGGGAGGACCTCAATGGTGCTCACCTGTCAATGACACTATGCGGGTGGCGCAGAGCTACAAGAATCTCGGACAACACGCGTGTCACCGGCATTGGGTAGGCATGATAGTGCCGAGGTGTGGTGGAATTGGGCGGGGCTGTACATATCAACCTGGATAATATCGAAAGGATACCGAAATGTCGTTAACGATCAGCTCATTGTATTCGACATTTATAGTAAATTCGCTTCATGCTCACGAATTTTGAAACCACATATGATGTCTTCCTTAGCACATTACTGCTCTATTCGTACTTGTGGTAAGTTTGACAATGTATATAACTTCCCCATTGAACCCTGAGATCGGAGTCCCGAATATCGAGGTTTGAGCAAGCTAGCATGTGATGAACGTCCAAGGTATAAGAAATTTGATCCCCAATCTCGATCCCCTCGGGCTCTCAGCCTATACGCAGCTTGAAGATGCTGGCTGTATCCACACCACCTGTTTGTTACCTAGGTACGGATATAAGGCATGGTTGTTCCGACTGTCTGGTACCAGGTCCTAGCGCGCGCCGGGGAAAGCCAAGCCGCATCCCTTGTCTCCCCCGTCATTCTTCCTGCATTGTTATACATGAACGCATTGCCTCCTTTAGGATGTGTTCGCCGTGGACAGGATGACACAAGCAACGTGTGGTGGGTTGTATGTGCCGATGCGGAGCCGGGAACGGAACATCAACCGTCACCGCACAAAAGTGAGAAACATACATCGCCAGTCCGTTCGGCCGGCTTTTCAAGCTATGAGTAGGGCTATCTAATAAGCCGCCGTATGGTTTTGATGCTGGCCATTCCTGATGACCAACACTTGAAAATCTGCAGTACTCGACTCAAGGTAATGCTCCCGGTGCCACTGCTTTGATACCCTAGTGAGGGCGGCGTCACTCATATATGAATATACGAATATATATATCAGTCAATATATGACCTCCGGTGCAGACCATTCTCATTGTTTCTGTGGCTGGAAGGCCTCGTGAGATGGGGTTGCAGTAGTAAGCAGTATGGAAAGCCTTCACTCCATTACCAGCGACTGCCAACTACCAATGGCACGTCATTGCAATTTGCATGAACCTGATTTCAAAAGATCACGTTGATCGGATCGGGGAAGAGAAAGGAAGAACGGGGACCAACCCAACATCAAGATCGCCCCTGACAGTTGATGTAGCAACAAAATCGCTTATCTAAGACGAGCGGCACAGTTCCTTGCCCCCTTCTAGCCTGTTTGCCGTCTTCTCACCTTCGATTCTCATAATTCTTTTGAAGATAAAACACGGTTAGCTCAACTCTGGTCATCAAGGATAATTTTATACAACTCCCTCCCCAGAGAACAGCAAAGCCAAGGCGATACCGGGCGCGCCGCTAGCACCTTTCATAACACGAATACGAGATGCGGACGCTTGACCAAATCGAGTATTCGGAGGAGGCCACAGTCGCCGCCGTGACCGACTTCTACGCCTTCCTGACCAATATGTACCTTCCCGAGTCGGCTGTCGTGCACCCGCCGCCAGGAGGGTGGCCAACCTTGGCCTCTGATCTACAGGGCCTGGGGAAGTCGGACGAGGTCCTGAGCCTGCTCTCGCACCTACCGTATATCCGCCAAGATCTAGACGATATCGAGATACCGGAAGTAACCCCTGGGGGCCGTTGGATAGACTGGCGCATATCCGGTACCTGGGTACGCGAGGGCGGCAGCGACATCGACGAGCTTCGCACCATCACCGAGGGCCCCGCCATCACGGAGCATGTACCCGAGAGCGTCGTCGGACTGACGATGAGCGAGCACCACACCTTCATCGTCGATACGGAGCTCGGCGTCGTCTACTGGCCAGAGTGCCCTGGCCGCCTCCGCAACGGGCCCCGGTGCATTGAGGACGACCCCCACGACTACTGCGACGACGAAGACGACGCCGAGTGGCGTGCCGACGGCGCCGCCTGGTCTGTAGCCGACTTCTTTAAGGTGCTCAAGGCAGAATACCGCTTGCTGCGCTGGGTGCCGTGCAGCGAGTACGAGGTCTTGGATTCGGAGAGCACGATGACGAGGAGTCCTATCGCGGCGCTTCAGGAGGTTTACCGGCGCTACGGCTGGTCTAATTCGCAACAGTATCGCAAGGAGGAGTGCCTCGAGGAGACGAAGATGGTCAGACTTGCAGCAGAGCAGAGAGAGAATGAGGGCGGGGACGCTTAGAGTTAATTCGAATAAGGTGTGTTCGTTTACGTGCTTAGCATGCTTTGCAGTCTTATTGTCATCGACAAGAGATGATTCCCGAACCTCTTCATACCGAGTTTAAACGTATATAAGTCTCTTGGACGGAAATTCGACAAGTGACCAAATGGGAGAATTGCTACAAGTACTGAATGAATTCAGAGGCGTTTGCCGTGGCGGGAGTTCAACAACTTGCGGTTGATGGCCCTGCGATTCTCTAGCACAACAAGTTTAACTGTTTCGAAGACCCTATTCGAAAATACTGGCGAGACGAGAACTATCAACGCCTGTATGAATGAGCTCATTCGGGATCAGAGAAGCGGCACGATAGGCTCGGTATGTCAACTAGTTCATTCTTAGGTAAATGTTGCTTAGCCAAATGTTGCTCCTGTGAGCCGTTACACGATTACAGACTTTCGGTATAGCCCCCCCTAAACGCGTCCACATATGAGAGTCCTAATGAATGAATTCAAAGAAGAAAAAAGAAATCAGCTCTAGAGGTCGGGGTAACCGCTCAAGCTGAGATAACTCGCTGTATCGCGGATACCTTGCATCAGCACTAAGGCAAAGCATTCGCCGACTCGGCCACCAGTGACAGTGTAAATGAGGTCAGGACTCTTGAGTGTCTCGATTCCCACAACTGGGTCACGAACCAGGAAGAGCTTTGACGATTGACCGTCAACGTAGTCGCAAACCACAGGATAGAAAATCTCGTCAAGAGGGTCGATGGCAACGAAGTAGTACTCTTCAGAGCCAGGTCCGTCGTAGTACGGAGCCCACGCAACAACAACACTACCAGTAGGGCCCTCCAGCTCGGGTTCGACGCGCAATCTAGAAACTCCGAGCTTCGTCATGGTGTTGTCATAGTAGTGCATCAATCGCTGGGCTCCGTCGTAAATGAGGGCATCATCTTGAGTAGCCCACAATTCCGAGCAGAGGTCATTGTCTGGTCCGTCGGTGACGACTGCGTACAAGTTGCCGTTGCTGCAAGAAATGATCATGGTAGAACCGGTAGGGTCAACAAGCAGAGAATACTCGTATCCATTGGTGTCATTGTAGGCTCTGTTCGGAATGGACTGGGGCTCATAAGAAATGGTGGAGGAGCCTCCCTTGTAGTTGTCTGCGGTGTCAACAAGCGAGTTCGTGGGCTGAGAAGCTTGTCGATGTTCAATATCACGCTTGGAGGCGGGTAACCTAGATGTCTTAGCCAAAAGGATCTAATCAAACGGCAAAGGCAGTGAAGGGAGTTACTCACTCGATACATCCCTGAGTCAGGGGACGATCGTTGGTATCCAACAAAGGTATCTGCTTTGAACCCAAGATGTCGATGTATAGCCTGTTGCGCCAGCTAATTTGCGTGCTGATGCCGGTACAGCCATTCGTATCGGTAAATCCGGCAGTGAAGCTGCCTGTCTCAGAGAGGCCGATCGAAGCCGCAACTTGAGCAACACCTTTGATTGAAGGCTCATCAATAATTCCTACCGACTTATCCCAGGACGCGATCTGAAGGCCACACTTGATACCTATGGGTAGTCCAAGTGACGTAGAGAGCATCAGCTCACCCTCCGCCTCGAAAACCGGCTTGAAGTAGGGCTCCCAACCACTCTTCTTGCTGTTAGCTGAGTTGACGAAGTCAATGAGCACATGAGCGTCCTGTAGACCCATCTCAGCGCCAGCCAGTAGCTTGCCCTTAGCCACCGCTTCGACTTCAACGCGTGATCCGACGCTGATGCGTGGCCCGATGTTGACAACACCGTAAGTCAACCCGGGTAAAGCAACGTTAATCAGGTCGTTGTAGAACTCTTGCTTGTACGTGATCTGGGCATCAATCCCTATCTTCAGAACGAATTTGATATCCGTCCTAATGTCGACCTCGCCTTCGAGAAAGCCGCCAATAGGAGTCCAACGGGCCCGACCGGCAATTTTTGCGTTACCAAAGGCACCGCACCCGACACAGAAAATGTTCATGTATCCATTGACCTTCTTTTCAGGGTCCTCCTCCTGAGAACCTAGCGCCTTAAGAAGGATTGAATCGCCCCACGGAGACTGTACCTGCTTAGTCTTGGGATCGCTGAGTGTTTTGTCGTCAGGGTTAGATGACTTGGGGTTGGGGAGGTGCCAGGAGATTTCTTTGTTTATGGAGCCTCCGATTGAGAGAGCTTGTTGCGTTGCTTGATAAACTGCCTTGAGAGGCTGCACAATTTTGTTGAAAAAGGACTTGAACCACCGCTTACGGACGTTCCGGCGTTGTTTCCAGAAGGTGTCTTCTGGGTCAATGTCGTACTTGAACTCCTCTGGAATAGACTCCTGAATGAACCCAGGGGCAATTTCTTGAACGAATCTGATACTCTCAGCGCTCAACTGGGCGTATCCTAGGTCCTCGTCGAGATCTTCGTCGAAGTAAGCACCAAGACAGGCCGTTGGAAGGCCGTACTTAGTATCTGTAGGAGCCTCGCAACTGCGAGGTGCCTGTAAGTCGGTGGTGTTCACTGCCGAAGAGCTGTTTGAGATTGGGCTGCCAGTAGCTCCGGGCATACCAGCTGATCCAGGCAAAGACGAAGGTGATCCGGGAGTTCCAGGTGCGCCTGCTCCTCCAGGTGAGGTGGGGCTGGCACCAGTTGTAGTGCTGCCGGAGGTGGCGGCCGGTGCGGATCCCCAAGTGAATGTTGATCCAGAGGCTGACGAAGGTTGAGGGTGGTGTCCTCGAGGAGTCCAATGGCCCCATTCAGTCTCTCCAGAAGTGATAAGATCGTCAGGGTGACCAGGAGTTCCAGAGGCCGTTATAACAGAGTTGCCGCCATGAAACTGGAGTGAAGAAACGCGGAAGAAACAACGGTCGCCTTTCTCGTAATCACCGCATCCTTTGACGAAGACGATCAAGATCAGGCCGTCATCAGTATTCCAAGTATCCACGGCATTCTGATACCCGTCGTGGCTGCCAAACGAGATCGTCAGATCTGACGAGTCATATGTGACGACTGCTACATGATCGCAATGGTCCAGGTTTACCGAGGGGGCAGTGAAATGATAGGTGACAAAGGCATATGCTCCTGCCTTGGCCGGATCTGCTCTATTGCATCAGTTCATCGTGGTCATGAGAATGTGCTGGCCTACTCTACGTACCACCAACACCGTAGTACATCTCGGAGCCCTTGCTGGGGGGAATTGGGATGACATTGGCCGCCGGCTTTGTGTCGCACGACCAATGGATGTTTGGCGACAGAGTTGCGTGGGGTCCATCGCGAGCAAACGTCGCTGTTTGTTCTCCCATAAACCCAAACCTATTGGCTTGTTCCACGGGAGACGGGCAAGGCGTAGGGGCGACAGTCTTAGTAACGGTGCTGTTGCTACCGGGTGCAATTGAGGCTGGATATGCGCTTACGATGCCAGCTATAGCTATCAGCGGTGCGGCTCGCATTTTGAGTAACATGGTGGTGTCTGATTGAGTATCTAAGAACTAAATGAGTGACTGGAATAACAGAAAAGATTGACGATGAAGCAATGAGCCCCTGTGAGGTGCAAAGGAGCGTGGTGGGCAGCTTGGCGGAGAGACATGGAAGGTAATTGCCATTTAGGCTGGGACTTTCTTAAATATTGCACCCATGGATAGTACTACAATTTTGATCTCAACAAAGACAAAGCAAACGATATCCCCTAGCCACATTCTAAACGTCAGAGACATTTTCGCAATTCACAAGGTGTCTCTTGAGGTCAAGACAAGAAATTCCTCTTTCATCAAAGTCAGCCGTCGACAATTCCGACGGTACACATAGGAAATTCTTAGTCCGGGGTTATAATTCAAGCGAGTTGTCTTTCCATCGCAAGCCTCAAGGGTTTTGGCGACCTGAATGTTCCAAGACGGGCCACCAGGCAAGTCAGACACAGAAGCCAGAGTCGGAGGCGTTCTACGCAAATGGCTTCCTCATTCCGTAGGAAATTTGCCATTCGAATAGCATCCCACCTCGACCGGCTGATCATGAGTGTTCCATCAATCCCTTGCGAGCAATCAGCCACACGAGCACCGTGGGTATCTACGCGTGCGGCTGATGTGAATCTTTGGCTGTCAAAGATGATGAATGCAACAATGTCAGGATGTCAAAACTCTTTTTACCAAACTTGATCACCGCTAGAAACTCAGACCAACTCGTTCTTGCATGAGCTAGACATATACTCATCTTCATTCCTGTGGTGTGAACAATTCTCAACGGCGAAATGCTTGACCTCGTGTAATCAACGACGGGAGATCTGTTCTAGGGATGATATCCTACTCCAAACGTGTACAAGCATCCAACCGACTAAGACAACAACGACTGAAAATCCATGAGCCAAGTGCGTGATCCACCTCAGCTCACGCTAGGTCAAGCCGTTTGAATAAACGCATTCTTCGTCGCACTAAAAGTAGCTGAGGTTTCACATGGGAATGAAAAGGTCCCCTGCCATTCTTGATAGGATCTGGATGCAATATGACACCACTATAATTCGTAGGATATGGTAAGAACGGTCATGCCGATGGTGCTCGCTATCACTTTCGTTTCGGCTTGATGGGCTTGATCGTCATGATCAAAGTGCGGCTGAGGTCTCAGCCATTTTTGCTATGAATTGAGAGCAGTGGCTTTGACGATGGCCTGCTCCACAACTTACACGCAACCCAGACATCTGGGAAGTTTGTGGATTTTAGAAAGCCACGTGAGCTCCTAGTACCAAGAGAAATTGAGATCGGAGCTATGAAGGTGGCGCTCTTGTCGTCGAGATTTCTTGGAACCAATCGATAGTTCAGAAGCACTATTCTCAGCTGCGCGCATTTAACAAAATTTCCGTTTGTCATTCAAAGTATTCTTGCCCTCTTTGAAATTCTTAGCGAGCTATCAAAACGCATGATCGCTTGTATTCCGGAGAGTCTATTATCGGATATCACTTGAATGTTATTTATGCCCATTCATTGTTACAGGAACTACTACGGATCGCGTGGCCAGGTCTGCAGG